AAAATCCACCGCAACATTCATTTTTGCAACACTTTTCTGCCTGAGGCTATAGGGTCATATATAATTCAATAGTGCAGCGTACACCAAGTACAGGATTGAATTACCAAATGAAAATACTGCAAAGCCTTTGACATAAATTCAATATAACTATTGGTACCGCACGACTACCCAATGCATGTGTGCCCGCTGTATTTTAGAAATATACATTTAGGGTGGAAAATGCATCAAACCAAGGCACTTGACTTCAATATATGTGTCAGATGTTAATTCCATACTGAAATTATGCATTATTTGGTTTCCTTTGGTAGTCTGTCAGCAATTCTGACAATATTGCGTACTTTTCCAAATTTTAACTGTGGACTTTATCACATGCTTTATGTATTCATTCACGTCAAACACAAGCGTGTGTCCTCAGTATTTAAACAGTCTCATCTCTTGTACTGTTTCTCAAACTCAGCTCGAAGCGGTTGGAAGGCCAAATATTTTATTTAAACGAGTGTTCGGTCAATTAAACAGACAGCAAAGTCTCAAACAAGCAACAAAATCCATCTACCAAAGGGACTGAAAGCAGGTCGGTTGCAGGAGCCGTCTGGTCTCGCAGAAAGAGGAAGCAAAAAGAAATAGGATTACAGACTGATTCACGACGTTTCTTTTTCAGCCACGCTTCCCAATCATTGAAATATAAAACCAGAACAATAATTCTATCCATGACTTAAAATTAGATCTCATTACTACTCATGTTCGCGTGGGAGAGGTTTGCTGGTGTAATGAGTTCTAAATGAATTAGTTACTAATTGTAAATACTAAGCACGCACTCGCCAGGCGCCCCAATATAATTATTATACGATTGAGTGGATGACAATATTTAGCAGCCGATTGTAAACCATTTTCATGGAGATTACTTTCGGTTATTCAATACTGTGTTTTTACACCCTTCAGAAACAGGTAATGTTTTCGTGAATCCCCACAATAATTAGCAAATAACAAATAAAGCAAGAAATGTCATACTGAAACTCCAGAAACTATGGGGGCGGGAGGGTAGGCTTCCTGTGTCGGGAGAGAGAGATGACATCTAAGAACATTTTGCTTTAGATAATGATTCTTTCTCTAAGGGATTCCAGCTGTCAGCCTTGGGACATGTCACTATTTTTTACAGACTGTATGCAAACAATCTCACTTGATAATAAAACAATGCACTTAATTAGACATCATTTTGTGAGTGTTTGTAGGTTTTGTTATAACTAGCGTTAATTGGACGTATGTGTTTTTAAATTAAAATATTCCCAAGGCTCATTGAAGTGCAGCTTGTTCAATGTCCTTTTAACAATTTTACTGGAGATTATTCATCTGATCGTTGTGAAAGAAGTTGGGGATACAATTGAAAGGGAGTATAAACTCCCTTTGGAATAAACACATTGTTCCAGACCTTCCAAACGGAACTATATATTAAATAAACAAGGGGATGTGTCACATCGTACGAAAACGTTCGAAATGTGACTTTACAGTTTAGTAATGTTGTCAAAGTCTGTTTATTATTGTCGCCGATAATTAACAAGGCATCTGTTGAAATATAAATTTCATAAAACCTTTTGATTTTTATGTAGCAACAATTATTAAGGCATATTGATATACTGTTTACATAACTGTCACAGAATGGTACCAAAAGCCTACGGTGTACATGGGCTTTTCCCTCAATAGCTTGGATATTTCTTTCCAGTTCTGCACAGTTTAATAGTTGTTAAGTTATGAAAATCCAATAAGTAACAGCACCTAAACTACAAAGAAAAATCTTAACACGAGTTATATTTCTAATTGTATTGGTCGGATAGTCCTACTAATTCAAACTCATTGCATTGCAAGAGAGCGGCAGTTCCCTCCTGAGCCAACACAACTCGTTTGAGAGAACTCTAATTGTTAACTGACTTTATTAAGTACTTAATTCCACTATACAAATGATACATTATAAATAATTTCGTCTGTAACAAGTTTCAAATATACAACGACTTTAATGAAGGATAGAATCGCTTTCAAGGGCTTCTCACACTTGGATCAGCATTGTGGACATACACAAGACAAATTTCTAATTTTCCTAAATAACTTCATTTTTTTCCCTGTCAGAATCCCTACAGTGTGAAAACAGGCCCTTCGGCCCACACCGACCCTCAGAGAATCCCACCCTCCTATAACCTAATCTATACATCCCTGAACACTGCAGTCGCAATTTAGCATAGCCAATCCACCTATAGCCTGAACATCTTTGGATTGTGCGAGGAAACCCACGGGGAAAATGAGCAAACTCCACACAGACAGTCATCCAAGGCTGGAATCGAACCCGGGTCCTTGGCGCTGTGAGGCAGCAGTGCTAACCACTGAACCACGCTGCCTTCCAAAATTTGTTTTATTTTCAACTTGTCAACGCAAATTATTGAATTCCAACTTCTAAATGCACTTGGCCAGCGATATACCCTCACCGCCAGCAAGAAAAGGCTCATGATTAATCAGGCCTTCTATGAAAAGTGTTAGTTTGCTCAAATGAGAAATACATAGTTTCCACTTTTGATCTGATTTTCACAATATAAGCATAATGATATAATCATATCCATCACAAGCCACAGTCGAATGAAGTCTGTTGGTCAAACTGCTTGGATGTGTGCAACACAGAAAAGCAAATAAAGCTAGCATGTAACTGCATAAGACCTAGCAGAGAAAACACCAATCATTTATTTAGACATTTTTTTCCCCTGTGGAATGTGTATGTTCTTATCAGTGTAAATTAAACATGAATGCATGCGCTGAATGAAATCATAAAGAGGGATGTTGTAGTATAAAATCTGAATTTGTTTGGGAAAGGATAGTTCCGCATTTCTCATAAATATAACCGTTTACGAAGTTTCCAAGTTTGCCCTTGAAATAAAGGGGCAGACTTCGCCTTTCAATTATCAACGAATCATGACCACAAGTAAGTGAGAACTGAGAAATAAGAGGGGTTCTCATCTTTATTATTAAACAATTTAGATACAACAATAAAGGGAGCCATTTTGAAACGAAAAAAGTCCATTTGAGTGCTGGTAAAATGAAAACTATTCAAGAAATCGTACAGCGCACGTAAAACACCAAATAGATGAAACTGTAGGGAGGGCCTAATATGCACTCTTTGGAAATTTAACAGTATGGATGTTAAAAGACATGTCTAGTTTTCATTCTTTGAGTCAGGACTGCAAAAAAAAATAATAAAAATGATCTCCAGTTATTAAAACTACCAATTCAACAGCAAATTGAATATTATTCCAACACACGTTTTTTTTGGATGGCGGGACATATATATGTATAACACCCCTCACACTGGTGGAGAGATAGTGATCTTGCACTTGAAAGGAAATACACCCTTTATTTGCATTCGGTTAACGGGGCGAGTCTAAAGCTGAGATGTAGGAACATTTACACCAACCGTGCCAATCGCAGGTAATTGTAGTGAAAAACCCACAGAGGGTCGCTTTGGAAATCCGGAATTGAGAAATCAGCAGAATATTCCAGATTTATAAATAACCGGAGTGGATACATCACCAGAAGAACTAATTCGGCGTCACAACCAGCTGAAAAGGTGAAATATTTACTCCCGCTGGCACTGCAATTTAACTGTTGTGTAGTAACGATATGAAGGTTACATCCTTTCAGTATCAAAGTGTGAATGTTATGAATCAGGAGGAAGTGTTTATTTATATCATCGCCTTTGTTACAAAAATTGAAAAAAAACTGCGCGCGGTTTTTTTTGTCAATTGTTGCAAATTTACAAATTAAAATAATTTATTTTCTTCTTCGAATAACACAGACCAGCAAAGGCAGTGCAATAAATTAGTACGGGCTCAATAAAGTTACAGAAATGGGCATCGGTTTCTGTTGAAATCTACAATGCAAGACAGCACTGGCAGCATTTCCATGCCTGTATCTGTTTTCACTGATCTGATTGCAATACGGCTCCGCTGTGATCTAATATTCGAACGTGCACTGAAAGTTAATAATTATAACGTGCACAATAATATCGATACCAAAACAAAATGCTCGGCGTACTCCTAGAAGATTGATTTTTTACAATGAATAAACCCGAGGGGCTTGGCAGTCCTTCCACTTGCACACTGAAAAGCTTTGATCACTGCAACAGAATTTAGTGTCATGGATGTAACCTTTCTTTAATTAATACGTACTATAATCGACTTTGTTTTTCGGTTATTGGAAATTCATAATATAATTCTGGCATTTGTTGAGCGCCTTTCGGGGCCTCCAGACGTCGAAACGTGCTTTAGAGTAATGAACGGTAGTCGCTGCCGAACTGTAGGGGACGTTTCTTAAGAGAGGCAAGAGCCGTTTAACAATAGGAGCAATGTTGAAACAACACGACCGTGTATTTCTTTCGGAGGTATGGTTTCTAAACCTTGAAATAAATGCATGGTTTTTTGTTTCACAATGATTGAGGGGTAGAAAGCGATTGTCAGCCCAGGCTGACCTGGCCGTTAACTTTCAAAACGCCAGTACCTGGACTGCATTAAAGTCTCAATAAGGGCTTTTGTAGCACGGTGGGAGTGACGCTATTTCTCAGCTAGGAGACCTGGGTTCTAGTTGAACGAGCTCCAAAGGTGTGTAATAACATTTCTGAGCAGCCTATACAGCTACTAGCTACATAAAGAGTAGCAAAATGAAAATGCATTTGTATGCATGAGTCCGTACCTCTGAGCCAGGAGGCCTGGGTTCAAGTCCCACGAGTTCCAGAGGTGAGTACTAATATTGCTGAAGAGGTTGATTAAAACAAAGAGAATAAAAATCTGCAATGCATGAGAGAAGGCTCTTGTAGGCAATAGTAGTGTTCCTACTTCTCAGCCAGGAGGCTGGGGTTCAAGTTCCACTAGCTCACAGGCGTGTCATTAATATATCTAAACAGATACATTTAAGGGAAAAAAACTGCATCCATTACAGAGGCTTCTTATGGGAAGTGGTAGTGTCCCTACCTCTGGGCCAGGAAGCCCGAATTTCAAGTCCCATCTCGCTCAGCGGCATAACATCTCTGAACAGATTGGTTTAAGAAAAAATCAGTCTGCATGCATTTGTCCTGATCTCATGCGGAAAGACGAACAACGCGTCCCAGGCTGTAGCTCCGGGAGGCGGATGCCAACACCCGGCAGTACCGTTCTCCTGCAGCCGGGGTCGATGATCGCCCGCCTGTCTCGAAAAGCCAGTGGCGCAGACAGATGGTCTGAAGGCTCCCAGTCAATCTGGTCCGGGTGTCGGGGTGGAAACTCCGCAACGAGTCACTCCATTTTTGTGATCGTTACCCGTTGGTCCCTTCCTGATACATTCCCCATTCATTCATCGAAGGAAGAAAGTGCGCAGACGCGCGGCTGCCGGCGGCCGGCTCCCCTTGTGCGCAGACGCGCGATTGCCGGTGGCCGGCTCCCCTTGTGCGCAGACGCGCGATTGCCGGTGGCCGGCTCTCCTTGTACGCAGACGCGAGCTGCCGTCTGTTGACGGCTGATTCCCGTGGTGCGGAGACGCGAGTGCTGTTATGCGCAGACGCAGAGATTCATCCTTTGGGTAGGTGAGTGGCCTATGCTGTGAGGCGGTGCTGTGACGTCATCCAACCCCCCCCTCTCCCCCAAGCCAACAGCTGGGCAGCCAACCGCGCAGGCGCAGCAAACAAGTCTGGACAGATCGCGAGCCGAGCGAGTCAGTCCAAGGTGCAGCGCCCCTCTCCGGATTGCAGCTCTGCCCACGGGAGACCTCCAGCAAGCAATCAACATCCCAGCAACCCCTCCAATGCACCAAGACAGACAGATAGACGCAGTCATTCGCACTTCATGCCAGCCTCGCAAAACCAAAAAAAAACACACAAACCGAGCCAGGAGGATGGTTTACTGACATCGCTCCACCTTCTCCAACTCTTGAAATACTCTCGGCAGAGAGACCTGTCACTATAACAGGTTCGGAAACTGACAAAACGAGCCAGCTCCAATTCATTATTGTCACTGTTATTCTAAATAGTACGGAAGGAGAAAAAGATATTAAGTGGGCGCCATGGCTAATAACGACGAACTTGCCAATGCAGCTGCTCAAGGGAACTATGACAAGGTGAAAGAATTGTTGCATAATGGAGCAGACGTCGATGGGATCAATAGTTTTGGTAGGACCCCCTTACAGGTACTTATTTTTATTTAATGTTCCATTTTTATACTTCGCTCATATTATGAGACATGTCCGTAAGATTGATGCAACATTAGTATTAGTCTTTGAATGGTTAGGCAGATATTGACCCTGATTGGTTTTAGGTTTGCAAGTAATTTCCTCAATTTCTACAATCTGTGCAATTAGCTTCTCGATACAAATTTTGGGTTAATTTTGGACGAGGGAATATGATTTTAAGGGAAGGGCATGTTAACGCATATAGCTGTTAGAAATACCGGAAGTGTTTTAACTAGGGCAAACGCTTTTTTCAAGGAGTAGAAAATAAATAACAAAAAAGAAAACTTTAACCGTAAGATTATACGTAGTTATTTGTACCGGATTAAAAATCGTTATTTTGGCGCCATTTTAGTCTACATCATGGAAAAATGATATATATTTGTTCATTTAAACATTTCAAATGTATTTCATTTATTAACCCCAACGGCATATAAACTAATGAAATTAATATCAATCCAAAATGTTCTAAAAACCGTAGATCTGATAAAATTTGAAACAAATAAGAATCCACTCATAAGCTCCCAAAAACATCAATGTTTCTAGTGCAAACCAAATCGACGGCATTACAGCTCTGACCAACGACATCAGTCCTTGTTGATTTAATTTGCTGCCTCGTTATTTATAATAAATTGTTTTACTGAATATTGTTTTAAATGCCAGTGAGATCGTGCATTTTACAATTTAACTGCAAAGCAATGGCAATCGAAATTAAGCAACATTCAAAGACGCCTAAGTGCTCTACTGCTAAGTATTAGAAAATTAGATATCCAGCCAGAAAGAGAGATTAGAAACGATGGCAGAAATTTCGTCAGGCATTGTAGAAAACAATGTGTCAAAGATCATTCGGTATAATCAGACATTTTATTTTTATTTCACTGCGTAAATCACTTAATTGTAAGCAAATGTCTCAATATGTCATTGTAAATATTTGATTTTTATATATCATTGCCCAAAATATCTTTGTTAGTTTTGTAAATTTTACAAATTTAACAACTACATCTAAATGTATACCCTAAAAGAAATTGAAATGATTTCTGTGTTGTCTTAACGGCTTTATCCAGAATATTTTTAAAAAAAATCTTGAAGACTGTTATATTTCTCGGCGATTTTCCCTCTGTAATGGTGTACTAATTAGGTAGATTAGCCGTGCTAAATTGCCCGCAATATCCAGGGATATGCAGGCTAGGTGGATTGGCCATGCGAAATGCAGGTTTATAGGGATAGGGTAGGGGTGGGATTCTCTTCGGAGGGTAGGTATGGAGTCGATAGGCCGTGGGGCCTGCTTCCAAACTGTACGGGATTTCACGATTTTAGTAAGACGCCGCCTTAAATTCTGACTGGGACTAGACATTAGCTAAATTATTTAAAATGTTAACCTCCTATTCTTCACATGTTTTGTGATAACTCGCTGATCATTTTTAAGCTTGAAGCAAGACTTGGCCGTAAATGCTATAGTTTTTATATATTTGTTAGTATTTTAGGATACCTCAGAAACAGAGATAAACGAATGTAGGAAGAATGGACTCATTGGAAAACTGATAGCAAGAAAAGAAATCAAATGAATGTAACAAAATTGGCAACAGTTTTATGCTCACTGCATAATCTATTGATATGCTATATACACATTTGAGAAAGTTGTTCAATAAGGCATTGAGACAGATGTCAGTAAAAAAAAAGGGGAACGAATATAAATTTAGGTTTGGTCACTTCAGTTCCATGTGGGTGTTCATTATCTAGGACCGGTTGAGAGGCAAATTCCTTTCTCTCTCTTTCTGTGTCCCTCTCAGGTAATGAAAATGGGCTGTCCGGAGCTTTGTCGCCTTCTTCTGCAACACGGAGCAGATCCTAACCGGCAGGATAATCAACAAATTGCATTGATCCATGATGTTGCCAGGGAGGGTTTCCTGGACACGTTGAAAGTTTTGATCGAAGTCGGGAATGCTGACGCGAATCTCCGGGACAAAAACAACCACCGACCCATCGATCTGGCAAAGCAACACGGCCATCTGGATGTTGTGAACTATCTAGGTAACCTAAATCCAGCAGATTGAGTGGCTGTGTTCTCATTGGGAGACATACCACCTTCATTTTAGATTGGATTTTTATAAATACACTCGTTTCCACGGACTTTTTTTAAAAAAGAACAAATACCAATATTGCTGTAAAATGTAAAATATATAAATAAAATATGGTAAATACAAAGATGTTTTGGGAATTAGTCTATAAATGTGCAAATGAAATATTGGCAATAACACCTTTAGGCGGTTTAGTTGTAAATAAGGTACTCCATTCACAGTCATAACATTTTATTTCAGTTTAGGATTTCTCGAAAGATTTTTTTTCTAAATTACTCGGACACCCCTCTGTCGCTTAACCTCGCTTTCTGCTGTTCAGTTTCATAATACGTAGACACGTTTTACTTTCAGGCGCATTTTTATTAATTTGGACAGTTCCCCGCACCACCATCACCGCCGCACCACCGCACCACCCCCCCACCCCCCCCCCCACCACCCCTTGACTATTGCAGAGTGCCGGTTAGGCTGAGTGGTTTGTTTCGCTCTTATAACGTCTAAATATACTCCTTTTTCAGTGAATTTGTAAACATTGCTGGCGTTAGGCTCTTCAGAGTTCAGATCGTTAATTGATTTATTTCACATTTAATGGCATCTTTAGAGGTAACCTAAAACGAAATTGGAAAAATTTGGGCAATTGCATTCGATAAAACATGCATATTCTACACAGAAAAAATCGAAGGCGATCTTATTGTTTCATTGTTTGGAGGGCGGCGCACATCCTCTTATGTCCTTTCAGCACCACAGCTTAATCCATTGCATTTAATCATAAACCGTGAGAATGGAATATACTGATCTATTACAGTGTATAATGACAAAACTGTAGTGTAGTAACTGAACATGGTGGAGACCGCCTTTCTCCCTTCTGATTTTCTCAGTCTCTTCAACCTGCTGCTGAGTTACACCATCCGTGCAATTCTACAAATGGGTAAAATTCTAAACAGGGTGCAGGGGTAGGGGGACCTGAATATATATGCACCCAGACCATTGAAGGTGACTGGACAAATGGAGAAAACGATTAATAAAGCAGAGAGTGTCCTCGGCTTTCTTAATACGGGAATAGGGTACAAGAACAAGGACGTGATGTTGAACTTGTATAAGGCACTGCTTGAACCTTAGCTGGAGTATTGTGCAATTGTGGCGCCGCGTTATTGGAAAGACGTGAATGCATTGGGCAGAGTGCAGAAGCGATTTACACTAGGATGGTCCCAGGAACGGGAAACTTCAACTAAAAGGATAGGTTGAAGAAGTTGAGAGTGTTCTCCAAGAAGAGAAGGCTGAGAGATGGGGTTGAGTTTTTTTTAAATCATGACTGGGCTGGAGAGTAGGTAGGAGGCTGTTGTTTTCACTTGCAAAAGAAACAAGAATGAGAAGGCATAGGTTAAAAATGATCAGCAAACAAAGCAAGGGTGATATGAGATTTTTTTTACACAGCAAATGGTTAGTGTGGAATGGACAGCATCGAAATGTGGCGGAGGCAGGTTCAATTGACACATTCAAGAAGGTATTTAACGGTTATTTGGCTAGTAATGGTGTGCTGGGATATGGGGAAAAAGGCAGGAGGTTGACACTAGATAATACAGTTGGTGCAGGCGTGAAAGGCTGAATCCTTCTGCATCACAATTAAACATGACTTTCCCAGCACTTTGCACAAGATAGTTTGAAAATCTGCTCAAAGCAGTGTGGAAATGTATTGTCTCTGCTTACAGTGAGAAAACTTGAAGCTGATGCATTGGTACTGCGAGATCCGTTTCTTCTTGAAACAAAATGCATTTCGTCTTTAATGCTTGAAGCTCAAAAAAAACAAAGTGCCCCACCCTAATAAGAGAGAACTTTCCTTTCCGCTTTATTTTGCACTGGCAATAATTGCATTAATTTGGTAGAGACACCAGCTGGAAATTGTGAATATTTTCCAGATACTGTAAACACTATTTGGTATGTAGCCATTCAGACTAATTTAATGCGCTTCTATCATGGAGGGGGGGGGGCACATTTTTATAGTGCATTTGATTTATTCACTCAAGGAGTAATGCCTTTTAAGAATTTAACAGTTGAAATGGGAACCTTATCAATTTATTTTGTTGTATCTTTAAGACAATGAGAAAGGAATTATTTTTAGCTTTACATTGAAGCAATATCAACCTATTTTAATGATTAGAAAACTGCTTTGAACGTACAGAAAATAATGGGTGAAATCCGGCCACATGATCCGAGTCAATAATGGCGTGCGTTTCTTCGATTGATTAAACAAGATTCGTGTTGTTAATTTGATAAAGCTAGGACCTAACCTCATAGAAAGGGGACTGTAGAATTGAGAGTTATTGTTCCACTAGTTCTTCTGGAGTTAAACATTTGAACATACTCATGTTGACACTTATTCGGGTGATGCACCGTCTCTGGACGAAAATATATCATTTTAGATTGTCGTGAATTTATTTTTGTGTAATTTCTCGATGATACATTTTCGCTATAAATATAGCTAGTTTATAAAAACGTCCTCAAATCTACACATATATCTCCTGGATCGTTTATAAACTGTAGATTTTTGCCCTGTCTTAAATTATTATTAGAGACGGGCACTACGGGAAAACTACAAATGGGAGAATCGAAGGAAAAAGCAGAAAATACTGCAGGGCTATTTACTCAGAGAAAGTATTGCTTACGTCATTTAGAGAAAGTGTTGGTTTTGTAATTACTAATGCATTTCACTATTCGAGATTAGTTTTGAAAGGAGTGATATATTGCTGAACCTTAGTACTCAGAAGTAATCTCGAGTATTAATGCCTTGTGACTGTTAATTTACGTAATTTAACTGATGGATTTTGCCTTCTGCCGCTTAAGCTTTGAGCGACCGTTCCTTTATTTTGATGCCACAATCTGAATCTTTTTTTCTTTATTTAGCAAAAGCCTGCCCATATTTCGCTCCTTTAAATACTATCTCCTAATATCCTATGGGTATAGAATTAGCATTTTTTCTCTAATATGAAATTTCCCCATATCTTGTACTATTAAACTGAATGCCTCTCAAATATTTTATCAAATATCAATGGCTCATAAGGTAATGACAGCTTACAATTGCACTGTTACATTGCTAATCTCAGACTACTATCCTGAAAATTTCGAGTTCCACAATCATTATTAAACTTATTAATATAACATTTATATAATTTTCAGTCTGAAAAAATGGTATTGTCTTTGAAGGTAACTGATACCAATGAAGTTGAAAGACGGCAGGGTTGAATTTGCAGAAACAACTGGAACAAATTGTTAGGGATGTTCGTAAATGGTTTGAAAAACTGAAAAATTACAATTGATATAAATCAATGTGCTTTTGAACATCTATTTAACATATTTTAAAAGTTATTGTATTGTCTTGAATTATTACTAACATTGACATAATGTAATAAATTTAAACTTATTCCATTTGGAATAACCTACTTTTTGTTCATCTTTAAGGAAATATGATTTTCTTTTACGTAGGTGTTAGGAAATATTTGTATTCTTTAAATCAGTAGCGCCGATTTCCAATTGTAACACTCATTCTACTTTAATGAAATGGATTGGCTATTATCAGCATTGACAGTAGAAATATCAGCCAACTTATCGTGATCTTTTTGAAGACTTTGAACGTATTGGCAACTTATCAGAAATACTGAGTTTTTTTTAACGTAAAGAATTCCTAACGGCGGGTCAACGGCGGCTAAACGCTAAGATTCCAACAATTTGCCAGGAGATTACAAATGGCAGATTCATTGTAGAATCTTCCCAGAGGAAAAAAAATCGGGAACAGGATAAAATGTAATTTGAATAGTATTTTTAATTAACCTTAATTCGTGTTAGAATCATTTAAACATTTTGAACGAATTTCAACAAAATAAGACATTTTCAAGTCGACACCAATGCTAAAACCTCGCTTTCCAATTGAAGCTTTTTAGGTTACGCCTAGCATTTTGACAGAACTGGAGGCTCTAAACTGCACGTTGGGGGAACAAGGAATAAATGGGAAACACAGAACAAAATAAACCGAAAATAACAAGAAAAAAAACTTCATATCAAAAGTGCAGAAGCAGCAAAATTAAAAACAAATGTTCAAGATTAAACTAGTATTCAGGATGCAAAGACATTTTCAAATCTTCCCACATGCTGGTGACAAGACAGTGATAGCAACCAGCACAAAATTCTTTCTTTAGTTGATACGTGCGTTTACTGAAAGCAGTTTAATTCTCTGTTGTACGAAGAGCGAATGGTTTACAGATTGGAAATGCGATCGTTTCTTGGCGCAGGGTGCCAGAAGAGGGCCCAGCTGCGTTTGATATGAATACTAAACAAAAAGAGGGCAAAGGGAAGTCGGAGCAATAGTTCTTTCACAATATCTGTCTTAGTTAGATTTTTAAAAATTATTTTATAGGATGTGAACTTCACCGTCAAGGGGGCGGAAGGGTGTCTCAGTGGTTAGCACTGATGCCTCACAGTGTCAGGGACCCAGGTTTGATTCCACCCTCGGGCGACTGTCTGTGTGGAGTTTGCACATTCTCCCTGTGTCTTCGTGGGTTTCCTCCCGATGCTCCGGTTTTCTCCCACAGTCCAAAGATGTGCAGGCTATGTGGATTGGCCATGCTAAGTTGACCAGGGATGTGCAGGCGAGGTAGGTTAGCCATGGAGAATGCAGAGTTGCAGAGAGATGGTAGGCGGATGGGTCTGGATGGGATGCTGTTCGGGGAGTCGGCATGGAACCGATAGGCCGAATGGCCTGCTTCCACACTGTAGGGATTTTATTCTGTATCAGCATTCAGTATCCCGGACCTTGAACTGAGTGACTTGCAAGACTACGTCAGAGTCAACCAACATTGCATGTAGACCAGTGATTTCCTTCTTTAAAGGACGTTGGTGAACCAGATGGGTTCTTACACAAAGATGGTCATTGAGCGGTCCTTATTTCAGGCGCTATTAACTGAATTCATTTTTTTTAAAATTCGCCCTTGGGTCGCTGGCTGAGCCAGCATTTATTGCTTGTCCCTGTTACCCTTGAGAAAGGTGGTGGTGAACTTCCTCCTTGAACCAATGCAGGGTTGTCTTAGAATGCTTACAACTGAGTGGTTTGCTGTTTCAGAGGATAGATCAGGGTCAAGC